TAGCAATCGTCTGCTTTGGAAGCAGTCCGGATGCAAACACATTGCGGTTTAATTTCAACGTTATAATAAGCCAATAAGAATTACCATACATTTACTCGTCCTTCATACAATTTAAGAAGCTGCTTATATGTTTCCTCATTATTCAGTACGCGTTCTCTTATTTCTTTTGTCTCGCTTTTTGTGTATATCTTTAACCTCTTGCACCGGAACGACATACTACGCGCGTCCCCTTTGCCCAAAAACAAGAAAATAAATAAACAACGGAACTAATTAGAATATAAAAAATGTCTCGTTGCGTTATGCATTTTGCATCGTGTCGAAGTTTATCGCATCGTACCGAATTGATAACAAAAATTTTCTACACACTGGTGATCTCGTAAATAACTGTTTTAGAAGGAGTCGTCGCAGGCATCCATCGATAAATTTCCAGCGTATGAGATTGATACTCTTTCTTTCCTTCCTGTCAAAATTCTCAATTGAATTTCTTCATCACCTTTCTCTTTTAACAACGGCGAAAGTGCAAGTAAATCTCGATCCATTTCAAAAAGTTATTTCGCCTTCCTTACACACACTGCTCTATCTGATATGATAATGAACGCATCGCACGTAAATCATATGCGAAGCATGCGTCTTGACGCACGCGACTCGCGCTAATAGAAAATGTCATCTGCGTGCGGATGTTGCGTCTAATTGCAAATGGCGAACGTATACAGTCATGTCTGACGCTTGTAGGAAATCCTACCATAATTCGCAGAGCAATCGGAAACGCATTTCTTCCATTTAAACCGTTTGAATAATTTCGGTATTTGTTTACCTACAGTTTTCATTTTTGTTCAATTTTTTTTTCTGAAATAACCATAAATTAATGGCATTTTCCTGATCAGTTTACAGAAATAATTTCACATCGATATTATATTTTCATTTCGATTTTTCCGATTTTTTCATTTTTAATATGTTCAGTAAATTCTCCCCAAATTGTCTTTCAACTTGTAAAGAATAATTGACGATTTTCGAGTAGGAGATACGATTATTCGAGGCTCGCTGCTCGTTTTCATGCCTGTTGACTAATCGGCGACTATAAAAGCAAGTCGCGAGGCTCGAATAATGGTATCTCTTTTGCCCAAATTGTCCACTTTTGTTAACAAGATGATGGACAATTGGAGAGAATTTACTGTATTTCAGAAATGATTGGCCGAATATTTGTACAAACATCATTGATCACCGCCGATCGTTTGAAACAACGAGACTTGCGCGTGTGTCGTATCGATTTTTCATCTCCCTTATGGAGCTTGTAAACGTCCTATTAACGGACATGTGTTTTTTCCATCGAATTTTAACTGTGTCACCGGACACGCATTTCCGGTAATATTGTCACCAGAAATATGTTTCACGTTCTCGCAAGAGCGGCTCCTAGATAACGATGGGAACGAGTTGTCACGCGACAGATCCGAACGATATTTTTCGCTTTTTCACTCGTCGACTGTTCATTTCCGAAAACCTGATTTCGGATTCCATTTCACCGGCTCGAATCGATTTATTAATCTGTCGCATATATGAACGGGAAAAGGGACACGCATTGAACCGGTGTCAAACGGTTCACGTCGCAGGACAATCGATTTAGAAAAATCGGGGAAAAATGGCGCTCGCGCGAGTGAATGGTAACTTTTAACGCGAGAGGAATTCGAAATGAAACTCGTGCACGGTACTTTATTCGCTGTCGAAGGAATCGCAGATAGAATGATATCTGATTTTAAATAGCATTAAAATGGATACTTCAAATTCGCTGGAATTAATTTATTATTTGAGCAGATAAAACCAAATTACTCTGACCTGTATTTAAAGAAAATAACCATTGGGCAATATTTTGGATATTGTTAAAAATTCCTTATTACAGTTTCTCTGGTAATAATTTTTGTGATTAATAATAATTGTATTTTCACGAAACTACTATATAATATAATATAAATATTACTGTATATTTTTACTAGCTTTTCGTTACAGCACTTAAAGAATATTAATTAACACCTTGCTGATTGTAATCATTTCTTCGAAGAAAGAGGAAATTGATAATTCTTTTTAATTTACATTTATTCGAATGACTAAATAGTGATGACAAGAAGATAGAATTTTATTTCAACTTAAAAGAACAGTATAACATTCATACTTGACCAGAAACTGCATCATGCGCCAGACTGGTCAAAGTATATCTCCTTTCTCAGCCTTTGTTGTTAAATACTTTTTTTTGTGGAAAATTATCTCTGTTCTCTATCTCTGTCTCTATTATTTATTGAAAATAAATATAACAAAGTAACTGGAATCCGAAATTTTAATAACAGAGTTAAATAGAACAAAGAGAAGGTTACATTTTTAAAAAATAACTGTAGTTTGTGTAACCAACAAATTCCTATTTTTTCATATAA